AGGTTCTCACGTGAAATAAAGGTACTTACCAAGAGAACTGCAATGCAAAATTTTGGTGCACTTATTGTAAAGGAAAGAAACAAATCTTGTGGAAAGCAATAACATCAGTTAAAGTGTATCTATGGTCAAAATGTAAAATCATATATTCATTCCCACATTTATTTCAATTATTTCTAACCTACTCCTAATAATCTGAATGATCTTAAAGTTTGTAAACTTACTATGTTAAGACCACTATACATTTACTGCCTTGAATTCTGTGACAAGTATTCACTATGCCCTGTGATTAGGCTCTGCTGTGTCACAGAATTCACAGAGCCTGCCTTCCAAACTACAGAGGTGCTTACGAGAAGAGTCTCAGGACGTGAAGTCAGACAGGCAGCAAGGTACCAGGGGATATGAAGTCTTTACAAATCAAAAGCATAGAAGGAGGTCCTGCAAAGCCTGCAGAGAATCCAGGAAGATGTGGAAAGAGATGACCAGCAGACAGGCAGCACTCAGAACATGAAAGGTGATTTTTCAAGTAAGCTTATAGTGGATTGTCAAATCAACTTTTGTTTGTATTGATATTACAATGCTGATGTAATAAATGAAAGTATATGTGGTGACAATAGAACTCATAAAAGGTCTTAAAAAAAATATTAAATGTCTGTGGACCACCCCACCTGCTAGTTACTGTCTCCATACATGTCCAGTTGCCATAACACAATCACATCCTCAGCTGCATGCAACGATCTGAAATTCCGAAATGTCATAATAAATTCAATCAGGAAGACAGATTGCGCCAAAAGCAACTTGAGCCGCCATTTTTGGTGTGGTCTGCATTGTTGATGCCTCATACTATGTGAGACTGTGTGGTCCGAATCAACAGATCAGTGTTTGTCTTTACAGATGTGGTTAACATGCAATAACTATGCTACTCAGTGACTGCAATAATGAAAAAATGAAGATAAAGCAAAAGCAATGAACATAGAAAAATCTTACCATTTTGCTTTTTTTTTTCTTTTACACAACTTTGGGAATGGCTTATTTTTCTCACATAAAATATAACCATGTATTACATCAGTGAGGAGAATCTTCAACATTTGAGTTTTGCACTTGGAAGAGACTGCCCATGGAGGAGCTGGACCAGACAACTTACATAAACATAAGCTGCTTTTTGTATATTGGATTTGGCTTTTCACAGAGCTTTCAAGATGTAAAAGAATTAACCTCAAGTTCTCCTGAAGTGGATGCTTGTTGCTTGTTGTCTGTGTCACACAGTAACCTACATATTGCAGTCTGATAGAAGCGTGTGTGAAGACCCGTTTGAAGAAAAAAGTGTCACTCAAGAAAAAGTATTGATTTAGGGTCCATGCACACTTGCTTAAAAGAAAAAAACCCGCTGCTCCTAGAGAAGTTTAGCATTTTGCCTGTAGAAGCAACTATATTTGTTCATGCACATTAGGTCCTTTCGAGGCATATTTGAAGTCCAGTGTTTAGAGGTAGAAAAATAAAACACTTCTGTTTTGCATTTTTGAGAGTGGTTTTCTGGTAAGAAAAAAAAACACTAAATGCTAGTACAAAAAAACTCAAATTAGTGTTTTTATGCCAAGATCACTGGTGTTTTTTAAGCCAGTGCGCATGGACCCTTAAAATAGAGTTCCTGAGATAAAGGAACACCTACTCTACTACTAACTGTGGAATGAACAATATGCATATTGATCTTAAGGTGTGCAGTGCATCCAGAAAGTATTCACAGCCCTTAACTTTTACCACATTGTATTATGTTACAGCCTTATTCCAAAATGGATTAAATTCATTTTTTTCCTCAACATTCTACAAACAATACCCCATAATGACAACGTGAAAGAAGTTCATTTTGAAATCTTTGCAATTTATTAAAAATAAAAAAATGGAAAAAAAACACGTACATAAGTATTCACAGCCTTTGCCATGACACTCAAAATTGAGCTCTGGTGCATCCTGTTCCCACTGATCAACCGTGAGATGTTTCCACAACTTGATTGGAGTCCACCTGTGGGAAATTAAGTTGATTTGACATGATTAGGAAAGGCATAAACCTGTCTATATAAGGTTCCACAGTTAACAGTGTGTGTCAGAGCACAAACCAAGCCATGAAGTCCGTAGACCTCCGAGACAGGATTGTATCAAGGCACAAATCTGGGGAAGGGTACAGAAACATTTTTGCAGCATTGAAGGTCCCAATGAGCACAGTGGCCTCTTTCATCCGTAAATGGAAGATTGGAACCACCAGGAATCTTCCTAGAGCAGGCTGCCCGACCAAAATGAACGATCGAGGGAGAAGAGCCTCAGCCAGGGAGGTAACCAAGCACTCGATGGTCACTCTGAAAGAGCTCCAGCGTTTCTCTGTGGAGAGAGGAGAACCTTCCAGAAGAACAACCATCTCTGCAGCACTCCACCAATCAGGCCTATATGGTAGAGTGGCCAGACGGAAGCCACTCCTCAGTATAAGGCAAATGGCAGCCCTCCTGGAGTTTGCCAAAAGGCACCTGAAACAAAGATTGAGCTCTTTGGCCTGAATGCCAAACGTCATGTCTGGAGGAAACCAGGCACTGCCCACCACCTGGACAATACCATCCCTACAGTGAAGCATGGTGGTGGCAGCATCATGCTGTGTGGATGTTTTTCAGCAGAAGGAACTGGGAGACTAGTCAGGATCGAAGGAAAGATGAATGCAGCAATGTACAGAGACATTCTTGATGAAAACCTGTTCCAGAGCGCTCTGGACCTTAGACTGGGGCGACGGTTCATCTTTCAACAGGACAACAACCCTAAGCACACAGCAACAAAGGAGTGGCTACGGGCCAACTCTGTGACTGTCCTGGAGTAGCCCAGCCAGAGCGCAGTGGCCCAGCTAGAGCTTGAACCCAATCGAACACCTCTGGAGAGATCTGAAAACGGCTGTGCACCGACGCTCCCCATCCAACCTCATGGAGCTGGAAAGGTACTGCAAAGAAGAATGGGAGAAATTGCCAAAAAATAAGTGTGCCAAGCTTGTAGCATCATACTCAAAACGACTTGAGGCTGTAATTGGTGGTAAAGGTGCTTCAAAGGTGCTATTGAGCAAATGCTGTGAATACTTCTGTACATGTGTTTTTTTTTTCGTTTTTTAATTTTAATAAATTGCAAAGATTTCAAAACAAACTTCTTTAACGTTGTCATTATGGGGTATTGTTTGTAGAATGTTGAGGAAAAAAAATGAATTTAATCCATTTTGGAATAAGGCTGTAACATAACACAATGTGGCAAAAGTTAAGCGCTGTGAATACGTTCTGGATGCACTGTACATCTCCTGATACGATATACCCATACTGTATGTGTCTTTGTATTTCCTTTTGTCCCTTCACATACTAACTGATAATACAACTCAGGCTGCAGCATACCTGACAACGTTCTCACTGCAAATTGTAGTAAAGTGATTTTCTCTTTTTTTTTTTTGGGACTACCCAGTATAGTCCAATTCAGAGATGTGTGCTGCATTGGGGTAAGGCAGCCTATTTACTTTGAAAAGACAATCGATGCCCTGAAATGTACAAGTAACCAACTCCATTGGCTCCGTTCACTTCCTAGCACTGACCGCAGAAAGAAAAAAGTGGAAAAAGGTAGGTTCTACCATTTGCACTGGTCCTCAGGAATCAATCTTACAGCAGAGATGACCATAGAAAATGAATATGGAGGCAACTACTGCAACCAAAAATAGCTTCTTTTTACAATGTTTTGGGAAAGAAAAAAGAATATTTGCCTAGATGGCTTACAGTTTTTATAAACTGGGTCCAATGGGGGTATATTACAGAATCCAGGCAGATGACAGACGACTGGCTGCACTTGGCTCTCCAATGAAATAAATGGACTAAACAAGAGAACAGCAAAATGTCTGTGCAGTTACTGTAAAGGAAATATTCAAATCTTGTTAAAAACCAAAACAGCTAAAGCATCTAAAAACATTTAAATGGGAGTGGCCCATCCTACTCGCTAGTTATTGTCCCCATTTTAAAAAAGGCCGCCAACACAGTGCAATTGTCATTTTAAGACACCTGCATCATTGTTCTAATCTAGCAATGGGCAAACTACGGCCCGCGGGCCGTATACGGCCCGGCGGACCTTTTAATCCGGCCCGCGGAGCGTGATACTGTCAGGATGGCTGTCAGGATGTGTGTAGGCGGGGCAGCGTGACGAACGCGAGGGGAGCTAGGCTCCTCTCACAGTCCGCCCTGAAGACCGGTGTAGCATGAAAATCTGTCTCCTATGAGGATCTGTCCCCCTCAACGTATCTGCGCATGTGCCGGAGATCGCCAATCGGCTGCTAATGCCTGAAACTGGCACATGCGCAGATACGTTGAGGGGGACAGATCCTCATAGGAGACAGATTTTCATGCTACACCGGAACGGCGCGGGAACACGGCGAGAGGAACGCGCGGAGAAAAGGTAAGTGAATTGACACAGGGGGGACTTAATATGGGGGATGAATTAATATGGGGAATTAATTACTATAGGGGGGATGAATTACTATATGGGGGATGAATTACTATGGGGGATGAATTACTATATGGGGGATGAATTACTATGGAGGATGAATTACTATATGGGGGATGAATTACTATATGGGGGATTAATTACTATGCTTACTATGGGGGAATATTACTATACTTACTATGGATGACACATACACATCATTCATCTACTCTTGGTCCGGCCCCCGGGTCCAATATATCAACCCATTGCGGCCCTCAAGTCAAAAAGTTTGCCCACCCCTGTTCTAATCTGTCACATCAAATGCACTAAAACATGAGTTGCTTTGCAAAATATGGGTGTAACATATGATAGGCCTTCGTCTCTTTTGTCATTTCACCTGTATAAACAGAGAAAGGTTTGTGGGTAAAACTCCACAAATTCTGTCCTGCTGACCCTTACAATTAGAACAACAAAGTAGACAATTCTAGAAAAAAATACAATTTAATACAATTCTTGGACGTCATTTACAGAAACATATCTTGAAAATATTCATCAAACTCTTCTTCCCTGAAAGAGAAAATAAATATATTAAAATAGTCCAGTTATATATAAATGTGTAAAATTAAAGTGGAATTCCAGCTTACACCTAACTAGTCTTAAAACTCCTTTCTCTCCTAACACCTATACCAACTAACCTGTGTAAGAAAGATTCATATACTTACGTATTTTTAAGGCACTCTGGTCCAGTCACGTGATCCAGCTCCCGTGTCAGCCAGTATGGCTGCAGGGAAGAGGAGGGAGCGTGGAAAACGGATTGACCATTGAAGCCTATGGGCGATGTTACCACTTCAGGCCTTACTAGACATTGTCAGAGCATTCTAGCCTGCTGCCGCTGCTTTCTGACAATGGGGATCGTGTGACTGGACCAAAGTGGCCTGACAAGAGGTACGTATATACATCTCTTTGACACAAGTTAGTTAGCATAGGTGTTAGGAGGGGTATGGGATAGTTTTAAGGCTAGTTAGGTGTATACTGGAATTCCACTCAAAAGAGTAGCGATAGCCTTCATTTTGAATAATCAGCTAACATTGCAGTAAATCAGTCAATATTGGCTCCTGAGATTTCCCAGCCCTAATTATATATTAGTTTAACAATTGTAAAAAAAAAATACCAGTATCTTCATAATTTATGATGACTGACCGTGTTTTTTCATCTGGTTCTTGTTGAGGACCTTTCCAGAAATCGCTATTGGCTGTTTCATCATTGCCATCTTCCTGATCATTATCTGTATCTGCAGAGCAAAGCGTGTAAATATATAAACAAAAAGTATAAAAAGAGGAGATTCATCGCAACCCTGGTTAAATTTTAAGCTTCCTTGTTGGCAGTGAAGTGAATCCTTTAATCTTTCAGACAATGACCTATGAGGTAACTGAGAGCTCGGGCCTATGTCAATCATAAAAAAGAAAAAACAAACAGCAAGCAGAACTCTACATTGTGCATCTGTCCGCTATACCAACACCACCATTTACACCCATTTCAATATTTCTCTGTACAGGAATAGGCACAGTTTGACTAGCCTAGAAACATGTAACCTGAATGTTCAGTACAGTCACTATATTACATCTGTATAATCACTGATGTTTGCCTAGTCCAGGGTGACACAGGTTTTACATATGTATTTCTACAATAAAGGGAGGTCTCCATTGAACCATTCTAAAGCCAGCATAGATGGATCGTATTTCGGCTGGTTCACAGGGGTCGGCAGACATTAGATACATCTATGGGCAGGCCGTTGTACCCAAAATTGATCCATTAATTGACTTTGGTACAGCTAGCCTGTCAGATTTTTTTCCTTTTTTGCAGATTCTTTTTTTTAAGAAGTACAGTATCTAGCTAACCATACAAAGACAGAAGTAATGATCAAACAGACTACTACACAAAGGCCACACATAGTAGATATCAACATATCTAAACAGATATAGATACAAAGTACATTGCAACAGTAATGAATGGGTAGGTGAACAGGGAGATAGCCGTGTGGGTGATCAGTCTTAAAGCAAAGAGGATAGTGGTCTTTTATACATAACGTACCCTACACCTTCATGTCACCATGATGGTAACAATGGTAGGATACTGCAGTTTAATTTTAACAGGGGGGATAATTAACAGTAAGGGAGTCAAAGAGAATAAAATAGAAAGAAAAAAAAAAAAAAGGCATGGTAAGGAGGAAACAAGGGTAAAGAGTCAATATCCGCTATGATGAGTTTCAAAGAGAATTGCCATCATATGATATGATAAACATTCCAATGAAGCCAGGTTTTGGAATACAGCTCAAGTTTGTTTTGAGCGGAAAGGTCAAGGTCCTCCATTTTGTTTATCCATAAATGTTAATCCACAGCAAGGTAGAAGAAGGTTATGGGTCTTTCCATCTCAGGGAGATGCATGACTTGGCGGCTCTAAGAAGATGGCGCAAGATAGATTTCTTATAAGTTTTGGCGGGAATCTCCGAAACATGCAGAAAGCAGAATCTGCCTGGCGGCTATAGCCACTACCAGCAATCATTGTATTCTGCTGGATAGGAAGACTCCCTACCTGCAGAACACAATAGCTCTGCAGGAGGCATTCCCCAACAACACTGACTATGGTTGCAGGAAAGAAAATGGAGTCATTTATGGTTTGCCTAAGAGTAGTAGAACAGTAGGCGAGGCCTAGCCGGTGACATCACATGTATGCCAAGACCGGGATCTCTGCATTTGTATCTGCTGTGCGCTTTTATTCCTGTTCATTTTATAAGTACCTGTCTGTTTTAATAAAATACGTTTTTAAGTTATAACACTATTTGCGGTTGCTTTGGCTTCTCTTTGGAGGGATACTCTACCGTGGAAGCTGTGTGAGAAATAAGGTCACCTCAGAAGGTTGATGATAGCATGGCCAGAGTTGCTTAAAAGCATATATTCAAGAGCATATTGATCTCTATATCAGGATCAATCTATTTGGTAAGAGGCTGATTATCTGTGGTAGTGGATTCACTTAGATCACATTTTTATGGTGGGAGATATTTGGATATTTATGAACTGAGCACTTTCACTTTGAACACAGTTTTGACTTTTATGTATAGACATATATTTGTATTGAAATTGATGCACTGTGCATTCAGTAAGAAGGAGTATGTGACCTTCTCTCCTTCCTCTTAGACTGCATTTTTGGGTTTGAGTGCACAATCTGTGTATGCTCTAACACAGAATTTGCACAGGCAACTCTACAGCGTCCTTGTTTAACACCATCATTAATTGGACAGTGATTACAATGATTTATTGCCCAGGATGGAGGCAAGGAGATGACAGAGGAAGCTGCACTGCTGAACCAGGAAATAGGCATGCCAGCGAGTAAGTCAGATGTGTGTATATAGCAAGACTGGAAATGAAATGGGGGAGGAATTAAATATATATGACACTACCTGCCTGGAGTTTGTATGTTCTCCCTGTGCCTGCATGGGTTTCCTCCAGGTACTCTGGTTTCCTACCACACTCCAAAGACATGCTGGTAGCTTAATTGGATCCTGTCTAAATTGGCCCTAGTATGTGTATGTATAAATATGAATTAGAGACCTTAGGGCTGTAAGCTCCTCGAAGGCAGGAACTGAGGTGAATGTACAATATACAGTTAGGTCCATATATATTTAGACACAAGCACAATTTTCATACTTTTGGCTCTGTATGCCACCAGAATAAATTAAAACGAAACAATCCAAATGAATTTGAAGTGCAGACTTTCAGCTTTAATTCAAGGGGTTGAACATACATATCAAGTACAAATTTTAGGAACTGCAACCATTTTTTATACACAGTTTCTCCATTTTCAGGGGCTCAAATGTAATTGGACAAATGAATATAATCATAAATAAAATATTCATTTTTAATATTTTGTTGAGAATTCTTTACTGGCAATGACTGCCTGAAGTCTGGAACCCATGGACATTACCAAAGACTGGGTTTCCTCCTTTCAGGCTCTAACTGCAGCTGTCTTCAGTTGTTCTTTGTTTGTGGGTCTTTCTGCCTTTCGTTTTGCCTTTAGCAAGTGAAATGCATGCTCAATTGGGTTGAGATCAGGTGGTGGTTGACTCGGCCATTGCATAATATTCCAATTCTTTTCCTTCAAAAGCTTTCTGGGTTGCTTTTGCAGTGTGTTTTGAATCATTGTCCATCTGTACTGTGAAGCGCTGTCCAATCAACTTTGCTGCATTTGGCTGAATCTGGGCTGACAGTATATCTCTAAACACTGCAGAATTCATCCGGCTGCTTCTGTCTTCTGTGACATCAATAAACACCAATGACCCAGTGCCACTGGAAGCCATGCATGCCCATGCCATCACATTTCCTCCACCATGTTTTACAGATGACGTTGTGTGCTTTGGATCATGAGCTGTTCCAAGCCTTCTCCACACTTTTTTCTTCCCATCATTCTGGTACAGATTTATTTTAGTTTCATCCGTCCAAAGAATGCTTTTCCAGAACTGGTCTGGCTTTTTTAGATGTTTTTTGGCAAAGTCTAATCTGGCTTTTCTATTCTTCAGGCTTATGAATGGTTTGCACCTTGTGGTGAACCCTCTGTATTTGCTCTCCTGACGTCTTCTCTTGATTGTAAACTTTGACAATGATACGCCTACCTCCTGGAGAGTGTCCTTAAATTTGTCTGGATGTTGTGAAAGGGTTTTTCTTTACCACAGAGAGGATCCTGCATTCGTCCACCACTGTCTTCCATGGACGTCCATGCCTTTCTATGTTGCTGAGCTCACCAGTGCGTTCTTCTTTCCTCAGAATGTACCAAACTGTTCATTTGGCCACTCCTAATGTTGCTGCCATCTCTATGATGGATTTGTTTAGTTTTGAAGCCTTACAACGGCCTGTTTCAATTGCATGGACAACTCTTTGAACGCATGATGTAGGTTCACAGCAATAGATTCCAAATGCAAATACCATACTTAGAATCAACTCCAGACCTTTTACCTGCTTAATTGATGAAGAAATAATGGAGTAGACGAATATAAAATTACCTATGAGCCACTTGGAGTATGCACTAAATTTCAAATTATGGTTCGCAGGCTCCCTTTTACATCCTCATATATATGTATAATAAAGTGATACAACTAAAAATTGGGTGCCGCGCCCTATGAGAAATAACTAAATATTAAATATTATAAATTGGATATAGATGTGTGATCTGAAGTACCCACATTTAAGCTTACATAATACTGAACGACATGAATTGCACTAAATAACTAAATATAATACAAATGGTGGATATAAGTGATAAATGAAAATAAATAAGACGTGCAATTGCAAATAATAATTAAGTGGGTGTCCAAATGGTGAAAAGTGTCCAACCAATATATAAGTCCAGCAAAGTATAAAGTCCAGTATTTAATGTTTCTGTAAATGAGACATAATCTGTTTGGTACTAATGAGGGATAACAACTTGTAATATTCACACCTTCCGGACAATCTGTGAGTAAATCTACCTGGCTGTGAGTAAACAAAACTGTGATATGGTCCTCTGTGTTGTGTGCTGAATGGGTTAACTTCCTCTTTGTTCCTGAGTGTACTGCTGTTACCAGACTCGGGATATAGAATCTCCCCTCCATGGACTGCTTGATCCTTCTCCCTGATGTTCCTCGTTTATACCAGGAAGGAAAGAGAAATCGATAGTGCCTTATCGTTGGTTAAAAATTGATGTTTATTGTGTGCCCATCAATCACATCCCTCGGACAAAGCCACGTGACCCTGTGGCGCAACGCGTTGGGGAGGGGCACTGATGTCACCACGTACCTGACTTCTGGATATGGCGAGTATAGACAGTGTGAGTTCACACACTGCTCAGGCTAGTCACATTCATCAACAACGGCATTTGATTACACAAAGCGCATTATATTTTAACAAATGTGAGTGCAATATGGGCACACAATAAACATCAATTTTTAATCAACGATAAGGCACTATCGATTTCTCTTTTGTTCCCGGTATAAACGAGGAACATCAGGGAGAAGGATCAAGCAGTCTGTGGAGGGGAGATTCTATATCCCAAGTCTGGTAACAGCAGTACACTCAGGAACAAAGAGGAGGTTAACCCATTCAGCATACAACAGAGGACCATGTCACAGTTTTGTTTCCTCACAGCCAGGTAGATTTACTCACAGATTGTCCGGAAGGTGTGAGTATTACAAGTTGTTATCCCTCATTAGTACCAAACAGATTATGCCTCATTTACAGGAACATTAAATACTGGACTTTATACTTTGCTGGACTTATTTATTGGTTGGACACTTTTCACTGTTTGGACACCCACTTAATTATTGTTTGGAATTGCACATCTTATTTATTTTCATTTATCACTTATATCCACCATTTGTATTATATTTAGTTATTTAGTGCAATTCATGACGTTCAGTATTATGTAAGCTTCAATTTGGGTACTTCAGATCACACATCTATAGCCACTTTATAATAATTAATATTTAGTTATTTCTCATAGGGCGCGGCACCCAATTTTTAGTTGTATCACTTTATTATACATATAAATGAAGGAGTAGCCCACATCTGGCCATGAAACAGCTTTTGATTCAATTGTCCAATTATTTTTGGTCCCTTGAAAAAGGGGGGATGGCTACTCTTAAAAGCTGTAATTCCTAAACCCTTCCTCCAATTTGGATGAGAGTGTGCACTTTCAGTCCATATCCATTATATAACTATAGCTTGAATATGTTTTAGTAAATACCTGAAAAAATCTAAAATTGTGCCTGTGTCCAAATATATATGGACCTAACTGTATGTGTAGATTGATGCATAGTAATATATTTTTGGGTGACAAATGAAGGCACTGAGAATTGCCTTAGCCCCCTAAAGACTTTCTTGACCAAGAACTCCTATGCTATGCTCTTCAACAAGGGGGGAAACAAAGTCTCTACGGGGAAACTCTGTCTCACTCCTTGATCAAACTTAAACACTGAATCAAACTGCACCCACCTTGCCCCACTACTGCTAAAATTATAACCGTTTACCTTCTTCACTGGAATCCTCATGTCTGTGTGTGGATTTGTCTGGAAGAAAAGACATAATATCAGAATTTTTTCTAAGTAAATAACTTTAAGTAAATGGCAAATCCCATATTTCTGGCAAGGTAGGGAATTCATTAAAATAATTTTACTGATCTTCTTCCCATGGAGCAGTACAGGTTCTTGAAGGATTCTGTGCACTTAATGAGAAATGTTCAATATGTACTTGTTACCTTATTTGAAACATAGGTATATGTGATGATGGGTTTATGCGGGTATCCCAAAAGTTGGCTCCATACTTATTCTTTTCCATACAATATATGTTTTGGGTACATTTTAACACGTATTGCATTGACAGTGCATGAAAACACAGGCAACATGGGTCCCTCAACATATGTTGACCTGATAAAACATGTTGTTGTAGAACAATTCTCTACAATGCATTGTTGTGAACTAGCCAGACCCGAACTGGCCATAGGGCACACTGGGCATTTGACCGGTGGGCCGGGGGCGCCTGGATAGGAGAGGTGGCCGGGCGGCACATAGAGGACCAGACATTTCCCTGTTCCTCTATGTTCTGCCCGGCCCCCTCTCCTATCCATCTCCTGCAGGTTGCATGCCCTGGGCTCCTATATGCTCTCCCCCGCAGCCGGCCCCCCCTCATCCCCTGGAAACACTGCGGGGGATCTGTCAGCATATGCCATCCTGAGTGCCGACAGTTCCCCCTCCCCACCACAGATGGGAGAGGAGAGAAAAAGCTGTCCCTCCTCCCGCCCTCTCCCTCCTGTGTCTGCCCCGCCCACACTCCTAGCCAGCTTTGTGTCTTTCTCTCCCCTCTTCTCTTTCTTTCTGTACCTTTCTCTCTCGGTCTCCTGTTTCTTTCCTTTATTTCCTTCTCTCTCTCCCTCTCTCTCCTGTGTTCCTCCTTCCTTCTTTCCCTTCTTCCTTCCCTCTCTTTCCATCCTTCCTTTTTTCTTTCCCCCCTTCCTTCTTTCCTTCCCTTCTTCCTTTTTCCCCTCCTTTCCTTCCCTTCCTTCTTTTTTCCCCTCTTTCCTTCCCTCCTTCGTCTCTCTTTCTTTTTCTCTCACTTTGTCTCCTGTGCCTTTCCTTTCTGTCTCTCTCTCTCTTTCTTTCCCTACTTCTATAAGTCTTTTTTTCTCTCTCTCTCTGTGTCTCCTGTTTCCCTCCTTCCTTCTTTCTCTCTTTCTTTCCCTCCTTCCTTCTTCTTTCCCCCTTTCCTTCTATCTCTCTTTCTTTCTCTCTCTCTCTCTGTCTCCAGTTTCTCTCCTTTCTTCTTACTCTTTCTTTCCCTCCTTCTGTATGTCTCTCTCTCGCTCTCTGTCTCCTGTTTCCCTCCTTCCTTTTTCCTTCTCTCCTTCTATACGTCTCTCTCTCTCTGTCTCCTGTTTCCCTCCTTCCTTCTTTCCCTTCTTCTTTATTTCAATCTCTCCTTCTTTCCCTCCTTCCTTCCTACAAAAAAAATAATAAAAATAAAAAATTGTAAAAAATTAAATAAAAACCTACTGACAATAGTGGCAAAACTACCAGGGTTTCAAAGGTCGCTTTTGCGACTGGGCAATGGCGTTCTGCCACCGGGCTCCGAGGAAAGGGTTCCTGGGCTTTGGGCTGCTCAGTCCCAGAGACCCTTGCCTGGGCCTATTTTTTGTCCCAGTCTGGGCCTGGAACTAGCCCTTTTGAAAACAATTTGGGGTTGATTTACTAAAACTGGAGAGTAAAAAACTGGTGCAGCTTTGCTTGGTAGCCAATCAGCTTCTAACTTAAGCTTGTTCAGTTAAGATTTGACAAAAAATAAAAAATAAATAGAAGCTGATTCTATGAAGACCTGCACCAGATTTTGCACTCTCCAGTCTTCGTAAATCACTCCCTTTGTGTCTGTTCGCATAGGCATGATTGAGCCCTAAGGCAATTCTAAATAATGAAGCGGCAATGTCTACAGGTCCTCCAGCAGCAACAAGCACAACTTAAAAATTTCTACTGGCCAAAGTGGATACATTTGGAGGTAACAAATTTACTTTACAGCAATGAACCAAACAATTCATGAGTTACACATCATACAACAATGTTGTAAAATAACCAAAATTAGGCCTATTTGAATTTATAAAAATAAGGTAGAGCGATTACATTTTATTAGGATCTCAAATTCGTTTCCTACCCCCATTAAATAAGCAAAATAGTGATACAAATAATCTCCCACCTAAAGCTGAAAATTGACATATATTTATATATATATATATATATATATATATATATATATATACACACACACACACACACACACACACACACACACACACACAGAGTTGTGTTCAAAATAATAGCAGTGTGTTGAAAAAAGTGAATAAAGCTCAAAATCCTTCTAATAGCTTTTATTTCCATACACACAAATGCATTGGGAACACTACACATTCTATTCCAAATCAAAACGTGAAGAAAAGTATATAAAATTTGTGTTGTTCCTCTAAAAAAATTGAAGAAAAGCGAATATTAGACTGTTCAAAAAAATAGCAGTGTTTGAATTCTTCTTTACAAACTCAAACATTCACTATATAAACTGAAAAATGTTTGAAGATTTTGCTTTCCTTTGAATCACTTAATTATTATTTAGTTGTATAAGCACTGTTTCTGAGAACTGCTGTACATCTGTGTTGCATGGAGTCAACCAACTTCTGGCACCTGTGAACAGGTATTCCAGCCCAGGATGATTGGACTACATCCCACAGTTCTTCTCTATTTCTTGGTTTTGCCTCAGAAACTGCATTTTTGATGTCACCCCACAAGTTTTCTATTGGATTAAGATCCGGGGATTGGGCTGGCCACTCCATAACGTCAATCTTGTTGGTCTGGAACCAAGATGTTGTACGTTTACTGGAGTGTTTGTCTTGTTGGAACACCCATTTCAAGGGCATTTCCTCTTCAGCATAAGGCAGCATGACCTCTTCAAGTATTCTGATGTATTCAAACTGATCCATGATCCCTGGTATGCGATAAATAGGCCCAACACCGTAGTATGAGAAACATCCCCATATCATGATGCTTGCGCAACCATGCTTCACTGTCTTCACAGTGTACTGTGGCTTGAATTCAGTGTTTGGAGGACGTCTGACAAACTGTCTCCGGCCACTAAACCCAAAAAGAACAATCTTACTTTCATCAGTCCACAAAATGTTGCGCCATTTCTCTTTAGGCCAGTCAATGTGCTCTTTGGCAAATTGAAACCTCTTCAGCACATGTCTTTTTTTCAACAGTGGGACTTTGCGGGGGCTTCTTGCAGATAGCTTGGCTTCACATAGACATCTTCTAATTGTAACAGTACTCACAGGTCACTTTAGACCTTCTTTGATCTTCCTGGAGCTGATTGTTGGCTGAGTCCTTGCCATTTTGGCTATTCTTCTATCCATTCGAATGGTAGTTTTCGCTTTATTCCACGTCTTTCAGGTTTTGATTGCCATTTTAAAGCATTTGCGATCATTTTAGCTGAGCAGCCTATCATTTTCTGCACTTCTTTATATGTTTTCCCCTCTCCAATCAACTTTTTAATCAAGGTACGCTGTTCTTCTGAACAATGTCTAGAACGACCCATTTTCCTCAGAATTTCAGAAAGAAATGCACTGTAATCAGCATGTACAACATTTGCTGCCTTCCTTCCTTAGTAAGGGCAATAATTGCCACCTGTTTTTCAAAGAATGAATGACCTCACTAATAGAACTCCACACTGCTATTATTTTGAACATGTCCCTTTCAATTAGTGATTCAATTACACAGAATCAGCAGCATGCATGTCATGACTGTTGGGTCTGTTGGATTTCTATTACTCTACTACACCTGCTAGTAAATTATTTGCCATGTAGAAATATCATTTCTACCAAAAACAGTGGTTGATCAGGTTAGTGATGTCTGACTGCTATTATTTTGAAACACAACTGTATATAAATACTGTATATCAAACGTTTTTTGCCTGCTGTAAGATTTCTAATTCTGTAAGCCAGTTCTGTGACCAAGTTACTCCTGCACAACAGCACAGCCAGGTCTTTGACCTCCACTGCACATATTGGTAAAAAAAAAAAAATATATATATATAACACGACACAACCAGCTGCTGACTGCACACTAAAGCTTTATGCACATAGGAAAAAAAACACTGAATGAAAAAAACTGGTAGTAGCATTTTTGTGCCAGCTTGTAGTTGAGTTTTAGTAAAAGATGTTTAGTGAGCGCTACCTTAAAACAAAAGTGAAAAAAATGTGTATAAATATGTATACACAACAAAGTTAATAAGCAGCTGATACACCGAAAAGGTAACCAAAAGAAAACCTCCAATAATACATGTATATCCAGATAAGATGGTGCAGCGCTAAATAATAATACATTATTAATACACACAATATACTAGTGCAAACTTATGCGCATGCGTGATGTCACTCAGATGGTGATCAATATATATTCAAAAGTTCAATATGATGGTGCGGATCATAGAGAGATCCTAATTCCAGGTGAGTGGACGTCCTGATCCAAGGTGTGATAATAGGTGCAAACCACACAAATAGGTGAAAAACGCACTCACCAGATGTGCGTTTAAAATACGCAATATATAATCCTGCGTCACCAGGCCATAGATCGGTCATCAAATCTCGGATCGGGTTACCCACAGATCACCATCCCGGTTCCACAGAGGCAAGGTCACCAGAAACTGCTACCAGGTATCACCACCAGGGTCATGGTTCCTCCAGATGGGCACTGCGAATGATAGCACTCACACAGAGTGCCCAATGAGAGACCACATAGCGTGATACTGCTTAAGGTACCTTTATTCAGGGTTGGTTGGTGTGGGGTACATAAAAAGATTTGCAAAAGAAGTTACTGACCATACATTCCAGGGTGTCCACCAGCGGTGGTTAGATGTCCTGTTGCTGCTGCCCCCCACGGCGCGTTTCGTGCGATGCACGTATTCATAGGGATAAGGGCTTTGCAAGCAGGACATCCACTTAGGTGCTATTTATATTTGTGAATGACAATCCTGCTTAATG